GATTTGCATTTAATTACGAGAGTTCTGGGGTCTACACGGGGGAGGTATGCCATAGAATACGCCCGAAAGCCAAGTTAAGATCGGGCCAAGACGGCGTGTGTGTTCCAAGGCAAAACGGGCTGGCAAATGATAATTACAGAAAGCATGTTAGCTACCAGAGAGACTGAGAGAGGGAGAGACATAGAAAGAGAGAGAGGGAGGGAGAGAGAGAGAGAGAGAAAGAGAGGGGAGCATTTACATAGAAAGAGACAGCAGGAGAGACGGACAATGTGCTAGAAACGTTAATTTCAAATTTATGTAGAGCGTCTAGTTTCTGGCCGACGTCTAAGCTGATGACTTTGAGTTACCACCCCACGAAAATCATCGTCACACACCTACTTTCTACACTTGAAAAAATTTCAGAAATAATATAGAAAGTCCGATTTTTAAAGTCTTTAAAAGCTAAGTGATAAGTATGTTTCCAAAAGGGGTTTGAATTGTTGTTAGAAAATTTACATTAATGAAACGCAGATTTAGACTAAAGCTCCAGAAACTTGAATAAGCATACCTAAAGCATGAAAGAATTCATTTTCTTATATATACAATATATTTATAAAAATTCAAATTAGTATGAACTGTTAAATGTGAAATTTGATTCACAAAGAAAGGCTTGTTAATTACATGAACTTCTTTATTGAAAATCAAATATATTACCATCAGTGATATGTATTTTCATTAGCAAATTTATTATAAAAAATACAATATTTTATATATATTTTGTTGTGCACATCTAACCCCCTCTCATACCCCCTAGTTACCCCTTTTTTGAGCCTCCCCCCTCCCCTCGAGCATCTCGTGTTGGCCATGGAAGAAGTTGGCAAGGATGCCCGCAAGGCGCGTGCTGAATTTAATCAGTTTGCCGGCCGAGACCGAGCTCGAGCTGCAATGACAATCAAGTCAAGATGGAAAGTGGGCAGTGGCTCTCTGTACAGCATCCGCATCCAAGTTCCAAGACCCCATCCCTGCCATTTCCCACCATTTTCCGGCCACTTCCACCACCACCCATTTTTTGGCCCGTCGGCTGCCGGGTAACGTAAATTAGACGACAACTCGACAGTGCAACATTTAACGGTAATATGCTTTTATAGCTGCCGGTAAAATGCAGCACAAAATTAGACATAAAAGACAAAGACAGAGAGAGAGAGAGAGAGAGCTAGAGAGAGAGATATATATAGAGAGAAAGCGGGATAGAACTACATGAAAATTCCGAAAATTAAGTTGATGAGGTGATGTGGCCTAGACATGTACACGATACGACAGCCAAAGCAGTGAAGAGTGCCCCAACCGGCACTTAAATATTGACCAAAATTGGCTAAAAACAAAATCAACAACCACTAGAATGAACGATGGCCCAAAAAGTGTATCCTTAAGATGTGCGAAGTGGGGATACTCTATGGGAAAGCAAGAAACCCATTTTAAAATAGGAATAAGTCTTATTCGGAAGTTATTTTAGTGTAATTTTTAATTGAACCTTGGTACATAAATATTGTATTAAAAATCGTTTGAAAAATTATCGTTCAAAATTATCTTTATCATATATAAGATAGAAATATCATTATAGAATTATAGAATATACTGACAATACCATTTACTTTCTTTTCTTACCAACGATCCCCAATCGAGGTCTCCCAAACACACTCTATCTCTTATCCTTTCCATCCTTCTCTCAAGGAATCCGGTTAATCACAAACCGTATGGGCCGTAAGTGCATACCCTTGCGAATCGCATTAAGTGAGCCAAACGGCAAAATCATCAAATGGCGTAGGCAGTTGCAGTCAGTTTCGGTTTTTCGAGGGAGAGATGAGGTCGAAGCTAGATACTTCACTGGACTTTTGAGGGGCACTACAGAGACGTGGCGGGGGTGGATTTCAAGGGGGGCGGCCAGACGACGTCATCGACACCTCCGATAGCTGATGGTTGAGGCGGGTGGGTGGCTGGCTAGACTGCCAGCATTAGCAGCATCACCAGTAACAGCAGCAGCAGCAACAGCAACAGCAGCAACATCAGCAGCAACAGCAGCAGCAGCAACATCAGCAGCAGCAACATCAGCTGCAGCAGCTAAAGGCAACAGTAACAACAGCAGGCTGGGGACTAGGCATTAGCAGAGGCAAAATCAGAGTCAGAGTCAGAGTCAGAGGCTGTGGCAAAGGCAGCCTGTTTGGCAGCAATCGACTGACCGACAGCGACCGGTTGAAGACCGCACGAGTCGCTGCCGCTGCTGCTGCTGCTGCATCTTCTGCCCCCTCTGAGCACAGGGGCGGCGCAGTGGCAGCGGGGGCTTGTCTAGTGACTTGACTGTAACCTCATTGACCAGAAAAATGCAAGCAGCAACAGCAACAAGCGCAGACAACAAAACATCAAATGTGAATTAGTGCAAAGGTAGCCAAGGAGCAACGATACACTGGCAGAAATGTTGTAACTATATTTTAGTAATAAATTAAACGATATTTTTTCAATGAAATATAGTAACGAATTATGGAATATTTATGTTAAAGATTTGTGGAAAGCACGTAAATACTTTTATACTAAAATCCGAAAAAAGTAGGTACAATTTATACTTATTTTATATTTGTTTATTTATTAAGTTCATCTGGCACTTATTTTTAATGTTTTCCTTCTTATTTTCCAAAATGTTAAGATAAAAATATTAATAAACAGCATTGAAAATTGGAAGGATCTATTTCGTATATTATGTAGCATACTTTTTAGGTGCTAGTAAATCAATCAAAATTTTTGGGACTAAAGCCAAAAGTGGGTTTCACATTTTGGTATTAATTGTTTTAAAGTAACGTAAAATTAATAAATAATATTATAATATTCCACTTTCAATATTATTAATTGTTAAAGCCATTTTTAAATAATTAATAAATAAAATATATCTCTATTTAAGTATCTATCTATTGAAACTATAGCAAAAGAATTTATTTCATTTGATATACCCACAAGATTTTACTGTTATTTCAATGCATATAAAAATGCATCAAGTTTTTCCAAGTGCACCACCGTGGCAAGGGGTATTGAGCTGGAAAGCAGCAGAAGACGTGGGGCCATTATGGCCGAGGAGAGGAGCGCAGAGGTGCCGGTGCCTGTGGGTGGAGGAGTGGGAGGCAGAGTGGGCAGAACAAGGCAAAACGTTTCCATATTTATTGGCACTTTTCGGTTTTCTGGAAGCGCTTCGGAACGGATGCCACAGGGACGGCGTGAAGATGGGGTTCGATGGGGATTTTCACTGGACCCCCGCACACGTCACTCGGTCAGTTTAGAGTTTCGAATTTCGAGTTTCAAATGAGGTTTTCTGCCCGATGAGCTGACGGACTACAGCTTTTGGCATTGGATTTGCTCTGCGGCCCGACACTTGAATTATTAATTCCCGGGAAAATAGTCGGAAAAGGTATATAACGGTGGGGGGAGGGGATGGGTGTTAGGAGGATTCAGAATCTGGTCAGTTTCATTAAATGTTTTCTAATTTCTCAAGCTTTTGAAACTAAGCTGGGGCAAAAAGATTCTGGGATAAATAAATGGATATGGAGAAATTTATATTTAATTTTTTATATAAAGAAATAAAATCCTTATATATGTGGGTTTTAAAAATATTAATAAGCTAACTTATGGAGTTTTAAATTTAAAAACTATGCATATGTTTATTTATTATTATTATTATTATATATTATTTTATTATATATTTTTTATATTTTTTTTATATTTTTATATTTTTTTTTTAAGTTTTGACTATTTTAATGACCCCCTTTAAAATCTTGAAATTTGAGTAAAATGTTTTTCTAACTGTTATTCCCATATTGATGATTTTTTTATTAATGATATATGATTAAAAAATATAATTATGTTTACCAATAAATATATAAAAAATATGTACATTATGAAACATTTTATAATGTACATATTTTTATATATTTATTATTTATCGATATTTTTATGGTCATTTCTTTGGGGAAATTCAAAGATTCGAAATATCGTAACGTAGCCATAATAATAATAATTTGAATTCAAAGAATTGTTTTGTGCTGGTTTTATTTTAATTTATAAATCAGCTTTTATTTTTTTTTTTTTTAATTTTACACTTTTTTTTTAATTTTTGACATTTTTTATAAAGAAACCCCTTAAAAAATTAAAAATAGGGGTCGGAAATGACTCCTTCACTGCGTATCACACTTTTGACTACAATTTGATACCTTGTAAAAAACCTTAAATGAATAAATATCTCTCCAAACAACTTTACAAATATTCATTCTAAATATTATCCAAACCAATCCCCAAAAATGTATTTTAAAAATTTCAAAAAACCAAATTGTCTTTGCCCCCTTAACAGCAACAACAGCAAAAAAAACAACAAAATGCAGCTGTGTAATAAAAGCTCAAATTTGCGCTCACAATAAGCACTCACACTCCCCCCCAACTAGTGCACTCGTTCTCTCTCTCACACGCTACGCCTCTCTCTTTCTCTGTCTCTGACTGTGTTTGTGTGTGTGTCGTTAAGTGCTCGCCTTTCGTCAAGTGTGCAACTTCTCCTGCCTCAGAACAACAGTTATAAGCTCTGCCAACGTCGACAGCGACTGCAGGCAGCAGCGCCGCTCATTTGTGAGCTTAATGACGTCATTATTTTTATTTTAACAGCGCCAAGCAAATTGCATATACTTGCTGCTCCTGCGCAGTCGGCGCGCAGTCGCTGCCATCGCTGTGCAGGGGTGGTGTGGAAAATAGGGGGTCTTCTGGCTCAGCGGAGTGGCGTAGGAGGAGGGAATGAGAGCGAAGGAGAGCCTCTGGCGCTCTCGGTCTCTCTCGCTTGCTCCTGCTAAGCTTTAGCCGGGGCTTCGGGGCTGCATTGCCTTCGTTTCGGCTGCTCGTGCCCGCTTCGGCAGCTCGTATGTGTGCGTGTTTTTGCTACTTATGCTATCCAAAGCGCCGCTCGTGCGCCGCACGTTCATTCAGGTTTCGACGCTGCGCCTGAACGAACTGCGGCCGGAATTTCCCAAACCGAAAATAACAGAATCAAGAACTAGTGCTATATATCCCATACACACAGAGAGTATCGCAATCGGAATCGGCATCTCAAGCGGCGCGTGCAGCGTGAAACCAAACAAACAAACACAAACATAGTGCAAACAGCAGAAACGGCAAACGTTTTCAAACATTTACGAACAAAGTTTTTGAAAATTTAAATTTCCCGCGAAATTTTGAGTGCGCGAGTGTTTAAGAATTGCTAACAATACTCCCAAATACTCCAGAATACTTTGACTCAAGTGCTAGTTTGTGATAAGAAGTTATAATACAAAATATCCAACACAAAAGAAGAATAGAAACAAAATAAATGTTAAAAAGTGTTTAAAAACTAAGTTTCGTCTTAATTAGTTCATCAGTTTGTGGAAAAAAACATCTTCGAATTATTGGAAGCTGCTGCAATTGTACTGAAAAACGGTATGTAACTCGGAATGTATTTATTTACTATTATTGTTTGTTTATAAAATAAAATAAATAAACAAAATTAAAATATTGAAATAAAAACTTAAAGTATTTTCCATTAGTAAAAACCGGTACAATTAATTGTACTTAACATTAATAGAATCCAGCTTAATTTCATATAATCCGTTGTAATTATCTATTAAACTAGTTTGATATTAACAATTTGATTTTGTAATTGATATTAAAAAAGAAAAGAAACAAATAACAATGAAGGTAAATTAATTGTAAATTCTTTTATATGAATTGTAATAGTAAAAATTTGAAATTTTATAGGGAAAAGATAAAAAGCCTATAAGGATTTATTGAAGCACAAAGAAATCCAAAATTATTACGACTCCAAATATCTTTCAATCGTTTAACTTATATTGTATTATATATATATTATATTATATTATATTTATAAACAGTTAAATCTTTATATTTATTTAAAATAGTAAGTTATTTATAATATATGGGTAAATAGTTATGCGCTTTAATAATGGATCTCTATTACGTGTTAATGTGTGTCTGTGATCAATAATTGGTTAATAGATTCCTTGAAAAACTTGTGCTTATAAACAATAAAAAAAGTATTTACTAATTCATAAATATGTCAAGTGCAAAACTCTTCAATTATTATCGAAAAACTATTGAATCTCATTATATAATGCGTTTTTAAATACCAATCGACTTGCATTCTGTCAGCGAATCATAAAAAATCTAAAAACCTTTTGAGCCTCGCACGCACTTCACTGGCAAATCATCCAAATGCAGTTTTTATGTAAATCCCAACCTTGACATGGTAATATGCAAAAAATAAAAAAAAACCAATAAATTGATGCGATTTCGCTGCAGGCGGTTAATAACTTTAATTAACGTTAATTTTATCAACATCACCATTACGGCCCGGCCAGCATGGAAAACGCAATGAGCATTTGGCTGCGGCTGCTACAACGAGCTGCGCGAGCGACTCAAAAATAGTTGCGACGTTCTAATAATAAAACCAAATATAATAAATAGCCATAAACAAACTAATAATAATACGGCACGGCGGCAGTGAATAGTGGATAGTGGACAGTGGACAGTGGCAATTTGCAACAATGAGGCTCATCAAACGATCTCCCAAACGAAATCAGAATGAAAACTCTACACATAAATATAAATAGTTTAATGTGCGCTAAGCCTTGCGAATGATGCCACCCCACGAAAACCGACTAAAACGTATTACAATTGACTCGCCGTGGCTCAGTGTCATTTTGCAAAAAAAAAATAAAGTACAGAATAAAAAATTAAATCGTATCTATGAGATACAATAAACAGCAAGCGCACAATTCGCACTAACAACAGCAGCGGCAGGCGTAACAACAATTGTAATAATCAGTTTCATTCCAAAGCCGGACCAACCTGTGCGATATACATTTTTCCCAGTGCCCAAGTTCCACTTGGAAACGCTCTTTCCCTCGATCCCACCATTACTGCATCCAGGCAGGCGGTGCATTGTTAACTTGGCCCGCTCATTTAATTAAATATAATTAGCTGCATTAATTGCAAATTAATACAGAATTTAGTCTCTTTGTGTTAGCAGCAACCCATTGTCGTTGTCAGGCAGCCTTCTCCCGCCTGCTCCCTAACTAAACTCAACTCGTTCTCCACGCCTCGTTATCGCCGGCAATTATTTAGCGAGAATTAACCGGGCTCAAAGCTCTATACAAACATAAATCTAGTGTCCAAACTCTGGAATGACATTCAGCGGTTGCATATCTGAACTTAATGAGTTTTGCATTTGATTTGGATCTAGGGTTTAGTTTACAGCGTCTGAGAATCAAAGATAGTTGCAGTAAGATCTACACGATCTATCTCTATATAGGGATTGTTTGTTTAATAATGTAGAATTTTTAAAAAATTTAAAATATATAGAATAGTTTTTATAATTTGGATATTTCTTTTTTGATTGAAAGTTAAGATACCCAAATTTTTAAAGCTGTAACCGAGACCTTTATGTTTGATTGAGATTCTTCTTTTTTCAGCTCTTTAATAAAGTTTATCTCTAAAGTATCTAATATAAATCCAAGAATATAAAACTAAGCACATATTTATAATTATATTTGCTGAATTCATTAGCCTAAACTATCATAAACTTATTAGCCTATTGTTATTATTTCTGCATTAGTGATGTCATTTTAGTACCTTATCTAAGCCCTTCTACTTTAAATTGCAAATCGTAATCGTAATGCTATTGATAATATTGATAATACTGCATCCAGTTTCTAATATATTTAATTAATTAAAATGCAGTTAATAAATGTTAAAGTTTGTGCTTAGAAATAAGTGCCGACGGCATTTATTCAATAATGTATTTGTATTATAAATTTAGTAAGGAATTTATATTAATGGTTTGTTCATGATTTTACTAGATCTAATACTCATTTTCTCAAAGCTTTTCAAATACTCAACAAAATTTACATTTTCTGTGCCGTTGCAATTTATTTATTTACCTCATTAAGTTGACTGCAGGATTTTTTATGATTTTGAGTGGCATCTTTAGCAAATCAGAGAAATCCATTAAATGCGCGTGTGTCTCTTGGTCGAAGGCATTGCGACAAATTTTAATGCACAAATAGCTGTGAAAAAGAAAATCAACGTTGTGGCAAACAGGAAAAAAACAACTGATTAGATATTAAATTATAAATTAAATGTTGTTGGTGTAGTAAATGCAATTGCTATTTCGTCTTTTTTTATGACAAACGGATGACGAACGCATAAAAATGCAGCGGCACAAGAAGCGGAAAGGCAACTGCAGCAAGGAGGCAATGCACACACACCAAACACACACTAACACACTCATTAAAAATATCCAAAAGCCAGCGGAGAATTGCATTTTCCTCCCCCCCGAAGACCCCTTTCCAAAAGATATTCCCCAACGATCGCGTCACGTTGTCACTTTACGTAGGCAAATCGTAAAAATGAAAAAAGGAAAATCCGCCAAAGCAAAACGCTTAATTATGTGCCGTGTATATTTTTTTGGCCAGCTGCCTGGCCTGGCCTAACCACGCCCCTTTTAGCAGGCCCCCCCGTGGGCGGCCTGTTTAATTAGCATAATTAAAGTAATAATTATATTCACCGAAAAGGCATTGAAGTGCAGGCAAATGAGGCGAGATCAGAAGGCGGGGACGCCTTCGAATCTTGAAAGGATTTTCGCCTTCTGTTTTTGATGTGTGGCCAATTTGCAAGCTTGTGCAAACATAAAATGCTATTTTATTGCCCTAAAACGGCAGGGTGGCGAAAATGGAAAAACTGTGGGAAGTATGCACGAATCTATGTTTTTCCTGTAATAAGAAAACGCAATTGAAAACGCAATGGTATCTGGGGTAGAAGGCAAATCAAAGGGAAATATGTATTTATTTCATTTACAAAGTCTCTTTTGTGTGGTTGTCATATGGTTTAAGAGTTATTGTGGTTTTAATTAAAAATAATTTAATTACAAATAAGTATTACACTATAGATTACCTAATAATATAAATAAATCTTAATGTACGATAGGGAAAAAAGTAACTTTACTTACTTTGGAAAATATGAAATTTTATTAAGATCTAATTTTATTTTGCAAGGCAAGATTTTGAAACCCTTGATCTTTGAGGACTTTTGTATTAAATGCCATTTTATAAACTCTTTTAAAATACGAAATATATAATATCGAGCCGTTTTCTTTAATTTAATTTAAAAACCCAAAGTTTTCTAATAAAAGGTTCCATAATATTCAGCAGTGGTTTAAGTAAAATAACTAACTAACCTGAAAAGTTTTGTTTTTAAAAGCCCCAGCTCATGATTTATAATTCTTCCAAAGAACTATTCTCAAGCTTATCTTTCGTAAGCTAATTCATGATGATCTCGAAAATTATTATAATAATAATATTATTCTCCTGAAGTTAGATAACTTTAATAATAGTTCGCGATTTTAATGATACTCAAACTTATTTAATAAGAAATTACATTATTGTCAAAGCAAATTTTCTTAATTATTATTTGAGGAGAATTCTTTTTTGAATAAAGATCGCTTCCTCAATTGTTTATGCACTTGAATGAGTCCCAATTACTTTGGTAAAGTAGACAATTTTTGTGAGCGTTTCCATTTGGAGGCGATCTTTGTGGGGATTGGCTCACTTTTTTTTCGCCACCAAAAATAAGACATTGCATGCCGCACATGCCACAAAGCCTACACAAAAAAGCGAAAAACACGCACATCACAAAATGTGACTGAGAAGGAGATGGAGCTGTGTGCGGAGGGGGATGCACACGCTCATTTAATAATGAACAATAATGAAGAGTAATAATAATCAGCCAGCAAAACGTGCAAAGAGAGTGTCCAACTTGAGAGGAATATACATATACAACGAAATTTTATCAACGAACGCGCATCATTTCAATTAAGAAAATGTCACAAGTGTCCAAGCAGCAGCAGCAGCCTAAAAAACACGCCAAATGCGGCAAGTTGGGTATCTCCGTCGCACTTTCATTTCGCCATTCCGGATTCCCTTCCTCAGGCCCGGGAATCCCCTTTGGCAACCCACACGAGAAAGAGAGAGGAGAGATCCCCCTCTTTAATGGTTTATTTTTTGGGGCATTTCTTGTAATTAATGCGAATTGTCACACGCTAGAAGTGAAATAATGCCAACTGCCTTCGATTCGCCTTCTAATTCATTACATTTATCGTTTTTGTCGCCGGCCGTTTCCTATTCTTAATTAGTAATTAAACAATTTATGCTTTTGCGTGAAGCAATGAGAAACTAAGTGAAATAAGTCGAATATTTGTACTGTTTTTTTTGTGGCCCAAAAACATGAAACTATAATTAATTTCATTCCACCAAGTATTTTGCTCAATTAGCAATTAAAAACAATACTTTACCGCGTCCACATTGCGTGTATTGAACTTGGGGAACACAATTCGGGGTTGTTTTCGAGGTTCAATCATGCTTGAT